GTCTCCCTGCGAGCACCCGGGCACTTGGCCACCGGGTGTTTCTTACCCCGTCAGTCCCGCCCACCTCAGCCCTTCATAGGCTCCATCTCCTCTCCCTAAACTCGGTGGAAGCACAGGCAGTGTGCTTTTGTGCACATTGCACTGAGAGCTGCAAGAAACGATAAACACCCTTGACGTCGTCTGCCGGTGCCAGCGCCACGGGGTGCGCCTCTGCCGTAGGCCTTCCATCAGCACCCTCAAATTAACGTCCGTCCAGTGTCTTCTGGGAAGGCCGGAGCCCACAGCCGTCACGGTGAGGACCGGGCAAGCCTGTCCTCTGTGTCTGAGCAGCAGGGAGACAGCTGGACCTCCCAGAAAAAGGAAGGACTCGAGAGTTTTAAAGGATTTATTTGATTTCTCCACATGATCACAGCTATGGTTTTACATCGATAGAGTCTGTTACTACCCACAAACAAAATGCATATTAAAAACAAAAGTACTCTTTTCCTGCGCGGGTGCCGGGCTTCCTGGGAGCAGCGCGCCCCTGGGAGCCCTTGAACAGCCTGCATTCGAGACCTGGTTCCAACCCTGTAAAGCGACTGGAAGGCGGAGGACAGCACCCTGCCTGGGAGGGGCCGGTCCTGCCCGGGACCCCAGCGTGACCATGACCGCAGGCAGGTCCCGCTCACGTGTGAGGGGCCCGAGTGACGCAGCCCCTCCCACGGCCCCCCGTTCCCCACCCCCACCTCGCGCCGACTCCTGCAACCTGCTTCCTGGATTTGTGTTGTTGTGTTTAAAATACTTACAAAGTCACTCACATTTCAGGCAGGAAGGGTGATGGTATCTTACAAGGAACCGTGAGGTGCATGCTCCCCGGTACAGACAGCTTCGCACGGTGCCGAGTCAGCAACGAGGGTCGTGTTGGCGTGTCTGCTGTCTGTTCAGCTCAGCTTAAAGGAAACCGAGAGGCCTCCACGGCATGCAGTGCGAGGTGGGAAAGTCGCTCTACACTGGACGACTGAAGACATTTTTTAAGCAAGATGTACACATCATACTAGGATGAACTTTATTTTTGCGTTGTTGTACAATCCATTCGTAAACTTAAAAAAATACAAAGACATGATTTAACTGTTGTCCCAGAAAAGATTTTTGTGATGCTACCGACTGCTTCCTCTAAGCGTCTCCTGCTGAAATCGTCTGTGACGTGAGAAGAAAGCCCCAGGTGTGTCCTGCCAGTAAGAAAGGACGGCACACAGCCCGGGGGGCTCAGCCTCCTCCTCCGACCCTGGGGGCGAACCGCGGGCGGCCACAGTGGCGACCCTGGGACGGGCAAGGATCGAGGGAGAAGAACCCTGTGAAAGCTACACGGGGGCACCGGCTTCCCACACAAGACTGGGGCAGCGTGGCCCCAGTCTCCTCGGCAGAATGGTGGGCCTTCTGGAAACACGTGTCCCACAGTAAGTTTGTAAACAAAACAGGTAGAATGGTGACACTTCACTGACCTGAAGCCAACACAGTACTGAAGGTGGGAACACGGGGAGAAATACTCCGCTTCCCGGCCCTGTGGGCCTGGCTGAGCCCCAGGACACGCTGACAACAGTTCAGAGGGGGAGGCTCTGAATGGCCCACGGAGAGGGGGCACCCCTGCCCCCTGCCGGCTCTGTCCCCCCGGGGTGTGTTTCCGTCAGTCACTGCCCTGCGGAGAGGGCGACCCAGTGCCAAGCAGCCTGCATCTTTTCTGGAACAACGTAGGGTTTACAGTTAGAGCCTACGATTGGTACACAGGTGAAGAAAAGCCGACATATTTAATATGTTAGCACTTTACTTCAATTATTTGTCAACAGTAACACTGATATAGTTTGCAAACACACGACACAGAGAGCGTGGCCTCACGCACTGACGCCGGAGGACATGCAGTGCAATTCGCCTTTTCCTCGTCAGGACAACACCCTTGAAACCGCAGGGCAGTGAACGCCTCGGGGGGCCGGACTCCAGAGGGACACCCTGGAGTCTAGGGGTCGGTGGAACGGGTGCGGCGGGGGGCAAATCACACACGCCCACACCTGGCCTCCCTCCTGTCCCTGAGCAGATGCCCGCAGAGAAGCAGGGCCGGGCGGGAGAGACGGGCGGGCAGGCGAGAGTCACTCTTCTTGCAAGAGAACAACAGGAGAACACGCTAAACTCTGGCCCGCTGTGCTCACTGCGGAGGTTAACAAAGTGCTTGGTTTGCAGACTTGCTGGTACGGTGACCTCGATGATGCGGCAAAGGGGAGGGTGGGGGTGGGCAGAGCCCCGCCGCCAACAGGGTGGGCTCCCCGCGGTCGTCCCGCCGCCGTCCACGGGGCCCCGCGGGCGCTGCTCGGGTCCCATGGCTTAGGAGCACAGCACGGGCGGCTGCAGTGGCTCGAAAGGCTGAAACTACA